GTGCCATTCATTTTTACACCCTTATCACACGCAGACATCTTTTCCTTGATCTCGGAGCACACTTTTCTTCCATCAGAAAGCATTTGGCCAGTCACGTGTCGGCCTGCCACTCCTGACCTAATTATGAAGCACTTAACATACGAGAAAAACCAATTGGGATTAATAATGTACATCTATCATCTATCATCCACATGGATTTTTGATGTTCTACCCCATTTTTCAATCATGCCTTCTCAACAGTGTCATGAGCCTGACCTGCCTGGTGAGGGGGTATAGACTATCTCTATATGGATAAAACCAGGGGTGTCAAACTTTTTTTGGTTGAGGGCCAAATAAAAAATGAAAGGGCTGGTCAGGGGCCGAAAGAATAAGTGGGTTTCATTTATTATACTTTTTTAAAATATGAAGGTATCTATTTAAATGACTTGTTTCACATTAGTCAGATTGGATATTCTTTTCTGATTAAAATTAGTTCAGTTCCTGTGGACTGAACCAAAACTGGACCAAATATTGAAGGTATACAGGAGGTTTTTCTACTTCCGGGTGGATCATAAGATAAGATAAGTCCTTTGAGATGACTTCTGTTGTGACCTAGGGCTATACAAGAATAAATTGTATTGTATTGTATTGTATTGTATCATCAAGACTATTGGTCCTCCCAATTGTCAATCATTCTGGTGATTTGTGCTCGTCAAATAAGACCACAGGGTTTTGTTCAAAACATGGAGAGGGCGGTTCTTTCCGAGAGAATTGGGAAATCCTCCTTCATATCTTTAAAGTGCTACTCACCCTCAAATCCACTTTTTTTGCTGATAAACAGTATAAATGAGTGTTCAATAGTGTTGTCTACATATCCTGGTCATAATTTTGTCACTTTGGTGCAAATTAGTTGAAAGTTAAACTTTCTGCCTAAAACCATCTGTGAGGCGCCATCTGCTGGCGACCTGTATTACTACATTTGAATTTTGAATCTGGCGCCAACACTGGCGCGGCAGCAAGACCTGACGTCTGAAGCAAGACCTGAAGCAGCCCCCCGCCCAGTGCTATATAAACGGCCCAGTCTCGTTCACGCCCCCTTTAGTCCTCCAGGCTACGCCCATTTAGAGGAAGATTTGAACAGGAAATGTGAGTGACGTAAGCTCCGAGGAGCGGGGGTGAGAACCACTTTAAGAAGACATGTAATTGAAGACTCGTAAAAAAACATAACATAATAAAACTAACTTCTAAATACATGTTGGCTTAACTTTTCTTATGGAATTACATTTTATGGTCGTTTTCTTGAGAAAAATAGTAATGGAAAACATGCCATTGTCGCCTAATACCATCAATGCTGCTTAATAATTCAAAATCATGGCCCCCGGGCCTTGACTTTGACACCTATGGACTAAACAGTTCCCAAACAGTCTGTGTCTGTGCTTTCCAAACCCAGTTTCAGCCTGATTCGGGTCAGACCCTGCACTTTGTGATGTTATAGAACATGCTTAAATTGAGTACGAGCTTTGTGTGTTCATGTGAGTGTTCTACCACAAACAGCTGTCTCTCGAGCTGAACTCTTGTACAAGTTCTGGCTCTCAATCTCATACTGTATAATGCCCTCTTTGCTTCTTTCATTTGCTTGTTTTTTGAGAAAATAAAAAATAAAAAAAATCCTCTCACTCCTTCTCCACTTTTCATCTCACTTCAGGTTTTCTCATTAACTTCATTTACCTATGGATTAGTGTCTTGTGGTGAAGTTATAAGCGCCCATACTTTTACCATACTCTTTACCATACTCTTCTAAAGAAACCTATCCAGAGCACCACTGCTTTACATTTGGAGAAATTCTACGGTAGCATAGTGGTTGAGTCGGTAGCCCTCAGACCTCACAGCAACAAGGTTGCTGGTGTGACCCATTCTGGACTTTTCTGTGTGAAGTGTGCATGTTTCCGCTGTATTATGTCACTGAAGGATTTCTACAGCTATACCGAAATCTTGGGAAGGAATAATGTATATTTTCATGTGTTTATTTGCCCATTCATCCATCCATTTTCTTCCTCTTTGTCCATTTCTGGGTTAGGGGATGGCAATTCCCAGAGCACCAGCCCCTCACTGATCCTCGTGGAAGTGTTCTTTCAGCAGGGGCTTCAGACAAATTGGAGTTAAATGTTTTGCCCAAAGACACAACGGCAGCAGACATCAGTGGGCTCAAACTCATGACCTTCAGTCTCATAGGCAAATGCTCTACCAACTGAGCCACTATCGTTTTATTGTGTCTATGTAAAAATTGCATATAAATAATAATTATATATATATATATATATATATATATATATATATATATATATAAATGTATAAAATACGTTTACTTTGTCATAATAATACAACTATATATAAAACTTTATTTATACTTTGTAAAGTGCTGGACACAACCACATAAAGTGCGCAGACTGGACAGCTCGCTGAGCCTGGCTATCAAAGGTTGTGCGTTGAGAAGTGCGAAGGCTGCAGGGGTGTCTGCAGGTACTCAGTTCACTTTCAGCAACTCTTGCTTTGGGATCTGCTGATCTAAAAGACATTCCCCACAATCCATTTTAACTGAATGTGCTGGAGAAACAGTGTGGTTAGAATCCAACAGAACCATCTGAAATCAACAGCAGCATCACTGGCTTATCACTTGGGCCAAAATAAACATCTTGTAAAAGATATTTTCAAACACTTGACACAAGATCATCTCAAAGCGTCCTGTGCGGAACTTCCTGTTGGCGTTCTGTCTCCTGAGCCTTCCTTCCTCTGCCACTGGAAACTGATGATGGCCTTCAAGTTATGGAAAATAATTCACATACAGTAGTTTCAAAAATGGCATAAACCAGGAAATCCTGACACAGTCTTTTTGATGTACACTGACTCTGTCCTTGGCACAAAACTACTTTCTCAAGTAAAATGACAGCTGAGCTGGAAGTGGAATCTGACCTAAAAGTAGTAGCAAAATATCCGTCATGAAATCAAAGTGCAATAGTGCAATACTACAATTAACACAAACTCATTAAATTAAAAAGAAAATTGCACAGTGACAGAAGTTATTAGACATTAATATAGTGAAAGTGCTTGGATAAGAATGTGGGAGAGAGCCAAATTCACTGGGTCAACCATAAAGAAGTGGAGCTATCCCAAGGGTCAGATTAAGGATATTGTATTAGAAACATATTTTCTCAGACATGCTTTGGGTCTCTGAGCAGCATATAATCTCTTTCTGCACTGCAGTGGTTAGGGACCATGAGGTCCTTGGACTCTCAGAAGTATACAATGAATAGAAACAGCCAGTCAGGATTATCCCACTACTTTCATTTGTATGATGACAGTAGTTAAGAGAAGATAGGCCACTAATCAATAGATTTTTTCTTGTGCTCGAGATTTTATCTTTTATGACTTGGAGCCAAAAGCTCCCAGTCCTTATGATCTGAACAATCATCAGAGAAATTGGACTAAACAAGCCAAAAATAGATATCACACAAATAGAGATTGTTGAGATTTAGTCAACAGAGATCCTGAGCTGTCACGCGCTTTTAATCAAGCCCTAAACCGATTTTATAAAAAAGAAGCAACAAAAAGGCCTTTCATTGCAGAGGAAAACAACTCTTCATTAGGGAGCCTTGAGTATGATATTAAAACCCCACAGAAGAATGTTCAGAGCATCTGAGGTAGAGCAGCAAAACTCACAAAACTCTCGTGTAACAAACAATACACATGGTCTCTGCATCATGAGGGAGGGCTGGAGGAACGAGAGCAACAAGTAAGCCACGGAATGCTCTTCTGGCATCGGAGTGACAATAAAAGTCAAACAGTAAAGTATGAACAATGCTGATAATCATTTACTGTGAGCCAAATAATGTTTGTGCTGTTACAATTAAACTGAAGAACACTGCCCTACTGTGCTACGCAGAATGCTGTGTTGTGCAAAAATGCTTAAATACTTGTTAAATGTAAACCAGAACAATTATCTAAAAACAACTACAAGCTGAAAGTAACCAAATGGCTGGCAATGAAACATCGCCCATGAGGCCTGGCTCAGTCCCCTCACACAGGTGGTGTTTACACGGGGGCGCTGAGACAGTAAAACGGTAGAGTTGGTTATCGGTTTGACCTTTTGTTTACATAAAGACAGCGTTTAGGGGGGAAACACAATCATTGAGAAACAGACTCCAGAGTGGAACAGAACAGATACGATGCGCAGTGGGGGCTTTTTTTAGAGCCACGAGAAAAAAAAGGTGGGAATTCTCTGCCTGCAATGACCTCACCACTTCCCTGCACGTACTGAGTACATACTGTACGTAAACAACAATGGCGGCGGATCGACTAATGCTAATGTGTGCTTCAAGCCCTACACGGAGGAGAATTCTACTCCTTTGTCCGTCCAAACGAAACCACGCAACGCTGTAGTTTGAGTTTCCATTTTTGCTGCTACTCAGGAACACGGTACCTGCAGTGAACTAGTTCACCAATCACAAAGTCTGATTGACTTCTTCATAGTATGTCTTTCTTCGTGAAGAAAGTTTTACAAATATATTAAGGCTGGAGTACCTCACTTTGAAACAACAAATATTAACTTTTGTAGTATAATCCATCAAGCTAGATCTTCACTCTTTCTTTACTAAGAATCATGTAACTATGAACAAAGTTATGTACTTAAATAGTGTCTTTCTGCATGAAGAGGGAGCATATTAAGCCTATTTAATTTGAGCTTGAGTATGACTGCTAATTATCACTGTTATAGTAACTATTTATCAGCTTTATTTAACAAAGAGCACAATTTTACATTTTTTCATCTGTGATGTGGGTTTTGGTGCTGCTATGTAGCAGTAGTATGCCAGGCCAAATCCCCTCCTTCCTCCAACACAGAGGAACTCCCCACATGACACTCCCACTGAGGGTAGCTTCAGCTTGAGCTGCAGCTTCTGTGTCTGACAGCTCTCGGCTTTATCTGAAAAACCTTAACCATAGAATGAAAAGTGTAAAAGACTCACTGCGAGGACTTGTGTGGTGAGGATGGAGGCACAGACGAGCAGCAGCAGCAGTCTGCAGCAGAGAACAGTGCCATAGTCAGTATAAGCATCAGAAGTGTCACAGTGCTGTGAGGTGAAGGTGAAAGCACTCATACCTCACACCGGTGTGTTGTGTCCGCATGGTCCTGCGCACGTGCACGGAGACTTCTTTCCCACGACGTGTTTTATTCTACAGCATGTCCAACTGCGTCATGTGTGCGACACACAAACACCACCAACATCACTGACTTGTTCAACTCAACTGGTATTATATAAAATGACGCTCCAGCCGCTAAAACGTCAATCATGACGCTAACATGATGCTGTAGTGCGAGTGTGACTTACGCTAACTCTTCTGGATGAACTTCTGATGCAGAAGCAGACTCTGAGTTCAGCAGGGAGCAGAGAAGAGTGGCGCCAAAACTCCAATTCTGAAAGAAACACGAGTAAGTGAAGCGACTAGTCCTTCTTCTTTCTGCGTTAAAGCAAAGTGTTGGAAAGTGTTGTCCTTTAGGATGGGCGAGGGTGGTCTTCTTCAGGAGGAGGGGGTGTGGTACACTGAGAAACAAGAGCAACTTACATTGATCAGACGCTCACATCGTCCCGGACAAAGATGCAGCCAAAGACACAGTCCCAGTCGCGCACATAAACTGACAATTATCTTTGGAAACTAGAGAAACTGGGACGAGCGGTGCATCAAACAGGTGGTTACAGAGACTGCGCCACGATGCTGTTCCCGTGCGGGCTCCTGCTCATCCTGGCGTCCAGCTTTGACCTGTCAGACGCTGAGGTAAGGCCTTCCATGTCAAATATTCGTCGCTATGTATATACATATATATATATATGTTTGAGTAGAAGTCGTCGAGATAACGTTGTTACAGAAGTCTTGCTGAAAAAATGTCACTTAATATTAAATTTAAAAAGTAAATGAAATGATTTGCTGCTGCTGTTATATTGTTGTTCTTGTTGTGCCATTCACTTAAATGCTTACAGTATTTCTCAAACGTTTAATAAACATGACATTACCGTTTGTTGATTAATGTTCATACCGATCTATAATTTGGTTTCATGCTCATACAGTTTTGAGAGAGTGCAGTAGTGCTGGTCCTGCCTCCCCCTGCTCTTGGGGCAGAGGGTGGGGTCTTGACTTCAGCATGATCCAATGCATGTACAATCTCTCAACTATTACATGGCATCTCCCATACTGCTCACTGTTATACCCACACAGAGCAGAGACTGTTTATGGTCTTTGATACTGAACCATAAAAGCTTGTTGGCTCTTCGATATAACCTTACAACACACATTACATTGATTGGGAATATTGAAGGATAAAATATGGCTTTTTGGTGTATTTATAATATAGGTATATCACATTGTTGTTCTATTACAGGTTCCTAGATTAGGAACTCCATCTCAAAGTTGAGGGAAAGCTGCATTCTGTTTGTTCCAATGGAAAAAGTTTTGTAAAAGTAAAATGCTGTGAACAACTCAGACCTAATATGATGAAGACTATCAGTCTTCATCATATTAGAAAACATGTTATTTTTGAATACAAGAAGTTACTATTTCACACTTTCAACTGAGAGCATATTGGCTGAGTGAGGACAATCCTCTCTTTATTACATTTCTGTCTAAAAAGCTGATGTAAAAAATACAGGTCAAAAATACATAAGATCAGATGAGATTTATTGATCTAACAATGGAGAAATGTGCAATGCATGTGATAGCAATCATAGAACCAAACTGTTTTGAGAAAGAGAAACAACTTTTTATTACATGCTTAAGTTTTGTGGTTTGAAAACAAGGTAACTCAGCTTTTTAAAAAAAAGGTGAAAAATGTTGTAGAACATTATAGAGTCAAATGAGTCTTATTTGTGATGTTTAATAATCCCAAATAAGTAAAGAGAAAAGACACTTTCTCAAACATACACGAGCCAATGAAACCAGCGTGGGAACACCATTATAGCAAGGTTAAAAGTTCATAAACGTCCATTTTATATATTATTTCTCCTCATCATCATAGCATATAGCTTTCTATACTGTATGTCTCAGTAGACCAGCGTTATCGTCTCAAGGCCAGTCCCACAGCCTGGATGAATTATATCCGTCACACAGAAGAATGCATGTTTTATAGTCAGTGGTTGTACTTTTCACACATTAATATCTAGTTTCTTACAATAGTTCCTTCTTTATCTCTGCTGAAGTGTCTGAGATATAGAGCTACAGTATTATTTTATGTAGCGGCTGCATGGATGAATTACAATACAAACAGGAAACTTTAGACACTTGAGAGATCGAGCCCTGGAGAGGAAGAGCAATCTGGTCAAACATCCAAACTACGATTCATAATGAAATAAACACTGCACAAAGATTAACTTGTATTTTGTAGAAAAGGGACTCAAACTCAACTCCTTTTCCTCCCTCTCAATCGTTCTTAGTCTCTCATACATTTATGATTTTATACCGTAACCCAATTTTCAGTCTGGACATCTCTTGGCTGAAATACCGGAAACTTCGTTGGCAGTGAATCAAAAGTTCTTGTTTTGGCTTCCTTACATTCACAATGGTAAAATACGGCCAGAAGGAACTTTATTGTGCCTCAGAGCATTCCTCTGAACAATAACCTGACCAATTTTGTGGGACTGAGTTGAGGGATGCACCAATGCAGATAGAAATCTAGATTAGATTTTGTTCTTTAATTTTAGATACATAAAACCAAAGTATGGGCCTCAGATCAGAACTGAAAGAGCAGGATTAGTGTGTACTGTATGTGCAACCGGTCTCGTCTGTCAGGGTGTTCTGTTGGGTGTAAATGGTTTTAAGGTTCAGGTGGAATACAGTGGGGGACTTGAGGCTTGTGTCTCGATAGAAAAGTTGTGTGTGCTGATCATTCCCTCCTTTAGAGCATCAGAGACAATTTAACGGCAGTAGTTTAATGACACTTCATCCTCTTCCAGCCTGGGGAATGTTAACGTATTATACGGTTAACACGCATTACACGTATTACACGTATTACACGCGGCACGGTGGCTGAGTGGATAGCACTCTCGCCTCTCAGCAAGAAGGTCCTGGGTTCGAATCCCGGTCGGACCAGGGCCTTTCTGAGTGGAGTTTGCATGTTCTCCCCGTGTCTGCGTAGGTTTCCTCCGGGTACTCCGGTTTCCCCTACCACTAAAAATATGTCCAATAGTTCTGGCATGTTCTTCCTGTACTGGCCCCGCTCCCATCTCTGTGTGGAGAGAGAGACAAATGCCCAAAATTAACAATCGTAAACCGCTTTGAGACTCAGATCTGCAGTGAAAAGGCGGTATATAAATAAAAACTTACTTACTTACTTACTTACTTATCAATAGAAAACGACTTGATCTCTGAGGCCTCAGTGCTGACTAGGGGGATTGTAATATGGTCTAAGCCTGAGGTAGATTTACCCCTCATGAACAGACAACAGCTGACCCTCTGGCCACCAGCCAAGAGGCAGCACCCAGAGGAGACTGAGCTCTGCTGTTCACACCGCGCAGTAAAAATGCCTCCATTTGGAAGAATTGTGGTTCCGCTGGCACCCTTGTGTTTTGACAGGAGTCCGCCAGTGCTGATACAGTCTGTGACTGACCTCAATATTCATTAAGTGTGGCGACACTGTCCTACTTAGTGCCAGGGGCTTTTTTAAGGTACAGTATGAGGTAAGACAGTTAAAGGGTGAACATTGTAGAGTCCTTTGTCACACAATGGCCCAGCAGCAGAAGGGGGAATATTTATAAAAATGTCCATTAGAACATTTACAGTTGTAGTTTTTGTAGTTCATTTTTTTCATGGGACAGGTTTTCTCACCACCCATTGCCTTCTCTCTACCTATCTACCTCACACAGCATTGACTTGTGAACAACTGTAGTGTGTTAATGAGGTACTGCCTGCAGGCTATGTAAAAGCTGTGGAAGGCTTCGCCATAAAAGTCAGATATGATTTGTAAGATAATGGTGAAATGGATTCTTCTGTACTACAGCGAGGTGGGAGTTCAGTTTGAACCCTAATGCAAAAGAAGGCTGAGTGGAAGCCAGCAGGATGCCCTGTAGAACATGACTTTGTCTCAGAGTCCAGAGGGCTTCAGTGTTGGAGCTTTGGTTTGCCCATAGCTTTAGTTTGAGGGCTGTCTTTATCCAGCTGTGTCAGAAAGTTTCTTTGAAAGAGAAAAGCGAGGCTTGTTTGCACAATCATCTAAATACACAATTTCCTCTGGAGTCTAAACGTCTCTTACTTTACCATGTCTGTCTTCTGTCTGCAATTATACATACAGTTGTGCAAAATGTCTGAAAGTGTAATCTGTGGTCACATGTGTGTCTCAATGACTGGCTGGGTGTGTGACATAAGCATGATATAAATCTATGCGGATGATTCCTCATGTTGAGGCGCTTCAGTGTCTGCCATTTACAGTAGTTACAGTCACTGAGGCCTGCGGTTCATCCTGCTGTACTTATGCTTAACAAATGTATTTATTCATCTTCATTTTGAGGTTTAGATAATGAGGACTGGACAGTTGCTGACTTTCCAAATGAAAAAAATGGCTAATTAGCTGCATTTCCAAAACATTGGAACCTGAGAGCGGGCCACTTTCAATTTCATGAATCTCAGCTAAATGTTCTTACAGATGCCCATTTATGACTATATGTTTTGCATTGAAAAGATTTAAGCTTGAAGGCCTTCAACCACAGAATTCTACAACATCAAAACAATTCAAACATTCAATACAATTATATGTTGCAGTTTTCTTGTACTGCTTATCGAATTGGAAGATCATGCAGCTTAAACTGTAGTTAGAGGGCAGCTGAAAGATTCTAGTTTTTCTAGTCTTAGTTGATACTGATCTGTAATTCCTGGACTAATATTAGTCAGTATATCAACTCAACTAAATATCTTCTCTTAAAAATATGTCTCGGAGTGGTGATAAAAACATGGATGATGTTGGCCTGAAGAAAGAACTCTCAGACATAAGAATAACATGATGGGTTTGTGAATCTAATCACAATCAAATAATGATCTGGGTAAACATGTGGATGCTTTATCAACTGCTCAAATACATGTTCACTTTACAACATGAAAACAACATTTATTTATCATGGACTTTAAAAAATGGAACATCCTGAACATAAGGAACATTTGTTTTTCACTGTTCGTACAAAAACTGCATAACTATCAAACTTTAGCGAAGTTGGACCCCCCTGTGCCACTATGGACATGTTTGGGCCGATAACAAGGGGAATCTGGCTCTTACTTTGATCATTAAAACTTGATAAAAATCTGCTTTGGTTCATCCTCATAAAATGAAAACTTTTAAAATGACGTTTAAAAGCCTTCTGTTTAGTTTCGCTGCTTGTGACTCTGAAGTTGAAGAGACTTTTTGTTCTCATTAAGTTTACCCCCACACAAATAAAGATGGAATCAGAAACCATTTGAAAGGTCAACCTCTGTGTGGACTCAGGTACTGGCCGTTCCAGACAAAGAGGACATTACATTTAACTTTGCCAAGACATCTGCATTTGTTGTTCCAGAGTCCAATGAAACAAAAACAAAAATAATAATAAATCGAACATAAAACATGCAGACACACCAAGGGCCACAACAGAAACCAACACAAAATGTAAAAATATGTTTAAAGTTAAAAAATAATCTAAACAGAATCATGTAAAGGTGGGGTACATAACTTTCTAAACATAACAATTTAACTACGCAATAAAATCCATCCAACCAGGTCCTTGCTCTCAAAACATTTTGCTTCTGACAATATAACAAAATTA